CATCGGGTTGGAATGCCAACGTACTACGAGTCCAATCATCCTCGGGATGGAATACTCTCGGCCCACAACCATCGGGTTGGAATGCCCACACGCCTATACATACAATAACTACTATGGGTCCAGTCATCCCTCGGGATGGAATACCCCAGACCCTCAACCATCAGGTTGGAATGCCCACCTACTATGAGTCCAATCATCCTACCGGGATGGAATACTCCTGGCCCTCAACCATCAGGTGGGAATGCCCACCTACTATGAGTCCAATCATCCTACCGGGATGGAATACTCCTGGCCCACAACCATCGGGTTGGAATGCCCACCTACTATGAGTCCAATCATCCTACCGGGATGGAATACTCCTGGCCCACAACCATCGGGTTGGAATGCCTACATACTAGCAAACATGTGAACCTATCAAATAATCATATAACAGTCTACAAGACAACATACTAGGGCCCTATCATCCTACCAGGATGGAATACTCTCTACTACTGCTCAACGCGCACATATAACAGGTAATCTCCTACCAGCATACAGACAGTCAGACCAACTACAGGTCACTAAGCATAACTACATCCAATCTACCAGAATACCGATCTAACAGAGCATACCATCATATAGCCATCCTATCTACCAGGATACTGATCTAGCAGAGCATACCATCATATAACCATCCTGTCTACCAGGATACTGATCTAACAGAGCATACCATCATATAACCATCCTATCTACCAGGATGCCAACTAACATATCACAACAGTAACTATCTCAAATAACAAATCAAAGGGCCGGCCTTGGTGCCTTAGACCCTTGGGTATAGTGAGGATAACTCACCTTGCACACGAAAGCACAATCCCGAAGCACTGCCCCAAACTCCAACACCTATAGCCATCAATGATCCATTGACATAAATATCCAAATTACCATAATACCCTTGAAGGTCAAACTGGTCAAAGTCAAAGTCCTGGCCGAAGTCAACTTTCCTAATTGACCCTACTCGCCGAGTCAACCCGCTGACTCGCCGAGTCCCCAACTTCAGAAAAGTCTTATATCACAACTCGACTCGCCGAGTCACCCCATGACTCCTATCATGTCCAACTCACTGAGTCACCACTCAACTCACTGATCTGAGTCTTAACCAGAAGAGGTTGAGGTTTTATGTTCTGACTCGCCGAGTCCAAGAACAGACTCGCCGAGTCCACAACAATCTTCAACAGACTCGCCGAGTTGTTCCACCAACTCGTCGAGTTCATGTCTATCTTCAACAGACTCGCCGAGTCCAAGAACAGACTCGCCGAGTCCCTTCAGTCCTTTATTCCTACAGAGGCTTTTCGAGCCATGCAGGGGCTCCAAACTGTAGATCCACTCTTCTAGGGCATAACTCCCACGTAAAGTTGCAAACTTTACGTGAAACCAAGGAGCTATAAGCCCAAATCACTCTAGGGCTAAGGTTTAAGACAAGGATGCTTCACCAACAAGCCAAAGGCTGATACTTTGTGAGTTTCTGGACCATGACAAGTCTATATCTGAAGTAGCAACCTCAGATCTAGACCCCTAACCCGAAATAGATCCTTAACATGCAAAAAGGGCCCCAAATCTCATTCTTGAATAGATATAAATGCAATAGAGTCAAGGTAACAGCTTGTTACCTCCAAAATGTGCCCAAACTGCAGTAGATTCTGGATCTACACCAATCCCTTGATGCTAGCCTCTTGATCTTCAAGCTCCTTTCTCAATATTCCTCCTCCAAAGCTCAAATCTCTTTAACAATGGAAGCTCACATGATTTTTAGGGTTTACTGACTCTCAAGGGCAATAAGGAGGCTGAGAGAAGGACATAAAGTCCTTTAAATATGGTGCAACCCCCGAGATTAGGGTTTTTCTCATTCCAGCACCAACTCATCGAGTCCAGCTTCCGACTCGGCGAGTTGGTCACTTAATTCGCGACCCAAGACCCGCTCCGACTCGGCGAGTAAGCATACCTACTCGTCGAGTCCCTTCTTCAAAATTACACTTTAAACCCTTAAATCATACCTCTGAAATTTGGGGTGTTACAGTTCAGAAATAAGAACCTTCATTTTAGATTTAAGAATCACTTTAAAGGATGAAACCTTGTTACACTTCTAACAAATAGACAAATATGAAAGAGATACAAAGTTACCTACACATATTTCACTAATATGACGCACATGACACAATTTGTGGTCCGATCTAGCCTTTATATCAAAAGAGGTTTGTCCCCCCCTTTGCATACCACTCACTATTCACAACTCTATTCCAAAGCAAGAAACAAGATCATGAAAAACAACTCGGATATAAACGAACAAAGATAAATGAGCTATAAACAAAGGTTGACAAAGCTACAATCATCTAAATATACTAATACTCCTATCAAAATGAGACCCATGTAAAGAGGATACTCGAGCAAAAGATGATAATGGAACACTATTGTAATTGCCAACAAAAGACGGATTCTAGCCTAAAAATATATCAAAACGCAAATGGAATATATAAGAAGAAATCTAATCTAAACATCTAATAAAAGAAAAAAGAATGCAGCTCGCTTGGACCGACCTTTTTTATTACTTTTTTCTTTTTCCTTTCTTTTCTTTTTTTAGACAACAAAACCCCAAAGATACAATTACAAATATAAAGACTTAAACTACTAACATAAAATCTATAAAAGCATAACGAGGGAAACACTAAAAACATCTAACTATATTTGCATTGTATGTCGCGTTAATATCCGACTTTTGTAAACTTTTTTTTTAAGACTAAAATCAACAAAATGAACATAAAACTTTACATAAGATCAAAACTTGATTTTTCATGAAACTTCACATAACACATAATAAATACTAGAGTTCTTCCAAAAATTGTCAAAAATTAGTACAAAATATTCCGAATGACATTTTAAAACAACTAGCCTTGGATTTACAAAACACAAAAATTACTATGTAGACACTTACATAAACAAAATATACAATACTAAAAATGGGTAGTTTTTTTTTCATTTTTCTTTCATTCTTTTTTTTTGGACCCACATTTTTGATTTACCAAAGAGTTTTACAAATATTACATCAAATACAAATACAAAGCACAGCTATATACAAGCTACTACTAGAAAAAGTAACTAACAAAGGTAAGCACAAAAGCTAAGTAAAAAACTAAATTGAGATCAAATGAGAAAATGTGTCTATATCATGAAGTAGGATGACATGAAATGTAATAGCTAGACACGAAAGATCTCAAAATAGCAAAGTTCTAGTTCTTGTTTCTTTATTTGGAAGATCAGTATGATTAATTAGTAATATGCTCGTGGGGGAGATATCTAAGGCTTTAGGTCTAACTTGTCCCACACGTTATGTCATGTTTGCAATAAGTTGATTCATTTGCATAAATTATCTATACTCTACTACATGTGTGTTATAAGAAGATACGACAAATGAAGGTCTATATGTACATTTCTATTGTTTCAAAAAGATTTGCATATTTGGCATATTAAGACTTGCAATTAAAGATATCTGGGAGTGAGAAAAAAAACAACAAAAAATGCATAAGAATAAACCTAAACTAAATGTCATGCTAAAATAAAAATTGAAAAAGAAGAGTAAAATCTTTTTGGATTTTATATAAAAATAAGAAAAATGCATGCAAAACTTATGCTAAATCCAATGCTAAAATAAAAATCTAAAAAATTAAAATCTTTTTGGAATTTTCCATAAAAAATGTTCTAAAATGGAAACTAAAAATGTGATTATTAATATAACCTAAAATGCATGCAAACAATAATAATAATAAAAGAAACATAAACATAAAAAAAAGATAGAAACTTGAGAGCATAGAAAAAAGTTCAATCAAATATAACTAATCCCCAGTAACGACTCAAAAATTTGGTGGTTGTCGATACCACCAAATAAAAAAAACTAAATATGATAACATACAAAAATGAATTGTGGTAGCGAGAATAGGGATTAAATCCACATGGATTGACTCGAATTAAATTATATGCATTCAATTTATACAAAACAAAATATAAAATGATAGGGAGTTTTTTGAAAATGTTAGTTGCAATAAAAACTAATTTATAAAATGACTAAAACGAAAAAACAAAAAATCTATAAAACAAACGTTCCAATGACAGGATAAATCGCAAGTTCAACCAGTTGATTAGTTATCATAATATTGTGGTGCAAATAGGTTTGATGGATCCTAATTTGGCTAAAGCAAGATAAGAAGTTTGAGATTATCTAGACTTTTTTCTTAGTTAATACAATGGCTAGGGAAGCTCATAGCACATTATCTTAGTTAAAGTCATAATTTCCATGAAGCATGTAATTAATGAAAATTCGCTAGCATTAAGATTTAAAGTCACAAAATCCAAGAAGAGTTAAAATATTTTCACTACCATGTTGTAGAAAATAATTTCATGATTGTGTGAAGTGAAAACAAACACAAGAATTTGTTTGCTAATTTGAAGATCTATTACACACTCAAAAAATTAACCAACTAATTAAACATTCACATATCTAAACTTATGATTAAAAACATATGAATATAAATAGATGTTTTACTAGAAAATACTTCCATATAGAATACCATCAAAATCCCCACAAAATTATTCATAATCAATTAATTGTTTTATTCATTCACCCAACATTGAAAATAAATTTAACTAATAATAACAATAAAAATGATAGAAATTTATATCAATACCGATTGTCAAATGGAAATAACCAAATCTTCTTGAAACCGTCACTTGTTGTTCAAATAAAGAATTTCCTTTGCATGATTCTTGAACACAAAAGAACATATCAAAGATGTCGATACAAAATTAAGGATTTCTTTGTAAGTTGTAAGTTGTAACTTATAAATATTTTTATAAATACTAATGGGATAATGGACTACAAAAATGATGGGCCTAATTTTTATAAAGCATAACAAAACTATAGCCTGCTTTTATCTACTTCATCGACCCATCTCACTAACGAAGGTTCTTTTGGTTCCAATCCAATCCTCAGCCGTAGATAACAAAATTAGCATAATATTCTTCCTTCTGCGTGTTATTCGCCATTTGACCACCACGATAACGCGTAGTGATCACACAACAATCGATCAAAAAGCCCCGAAAGGAAACCCAAAATCCTTGTACACAAAGCAAACGCACAAGTTTTTGTGAGCAAGAACTAGAAGTTGTTTATAGGGTTTATTGGATTTTCCTTTTTTGATCGCTAATTTCACCATGAGTTTCCTATTCGGCAAGAAGAAAACACCCGCTGGTTCGTACGCTTGATCCATGTTTTATATTCTGTATTTATTCAATTGGGTTTGTGTTGGATCTAAATGTTATTGTAGGAATCTGCAATTTGGTTAGTACTATGATGATCTGCTATCGAATTTCGCCAATTGGATTAGGATCGTCACTTTATATACCCTGATCGTAGGAATTTACTAGTGTTATTTAGGTTTATTCATTGAATTCCTGTTAATTGCTTGAATATGATATGAATTAGGTCAAACCTCAAGTCGGGGATAAATGGATTAGGTGAAACATAGAGAATTAGTTCACAGAGTAGAAGAAGTGCGTTTAAGTATATTTTTCATATTCCTATGGTTTTCAGTATGATTACTGTTGATAAAAAGTAATTCAACCTATTGTCCCCTTAGTAATCATGGATTTGTAAACTTAAAACTGGTTCTTAGGGAGAGAATGGCTGATTTGGAACAATCTTGTGGATCTTGCAGTTGTGTTGTGGGGGTTTCCATCATGAGTTTTGTAGGAAGTTTCAGTTTTATATAGTAAACAACTTCCCACAATGATCAATTGATATACTTAAATTCACTATTTTGGGTTGATAATTGTATTTATAAAATCTTTGGGTTTTTGGAAATAAGATATAATTGGCACTTTCAGAGCTCCTGCGGGAGAACAAGAGAATGCTTGATAAATCCATAAGAGAAATCGAAAGAGAAAGACAAGGTTTGCAGACACAAGAGAAGAAACTGATTGTAGAAATCAAGAAAAGTGCCAAACAAGGTCAAATGGTAAGTTTGATTCTAATGATTATTTGACTTGAACTTTTTTCCAATGCTAAAAATATGATGATATTTTGGCACTCTTTTTTTTTTTTTCTCTCTCTCAGGGAGCTGTGAAGGTGATGGCTAAAGACCTTATAAGAACACGACACCAAATTGAGAAGTTTTACAAGCTTAAATCCCAGCTGCAGGGTGTATCCCTAAGAATTCAGGTATATAATTAAAAAAATAAAAAATTAATGTTGTTATTTCTTTTGTTAACCTTGAGGGTGTTATTAATTTGACTGTTTGAGCAGACATTGAAGTCAACACAAGCAATGGGTGAAGCGATGAAAGGAGTGACAAAAGCAATGGGCCAAATGAACAGGCAAATGAACCTTCCATCATTGCAGAAAATAATGCAAGAATTTGAGAGACAAAATGAGAAAATGGAAATGGTGAGTGAAGTCATGGGTGATGCCATTGATGATGCTTTGGAAGGTGATGAAGAAGAAGATGAAACTGAAGAGCTCGTGAGCCAGGTTTTAGATGAAATTGGTATTGATATTAACCAAGAGGTAAATATTTCACTTTGTCATTTTAAAAATAGATAAATGTTTTTTTTTTTAAATGAAATATTTTGAAATTTGCAGTTGATGAATGCACCTTCGGGGGCGGTATCAGTCCCGGCTGCAAAGACGAAGGTGGCGCAAGCGGAAGCACCGGCGGGGGCGGGGGCGGGTGATGATGGTGGGATTGATAGTGATTTACAGGCGAGGTTAGATAATTTGAGAAGAATGTAACTATCATTATCATCGTTATCATATTCACAACTTAAAAAAAAAAGTATTTCACATATATGCTTTGTAAAAATTTGGGTCGAATTTGTGAACGTTTGTGTCGATTATGGTATCAAAGTTTGTTGCAAATATTTGTCATTTTAAAAATTAAATAAAAACAACCTACTTAGCCCCAAGGTAGAATAGGTCAAAGATTTGAATCTCGATTAGACTATTTGTTGACTCTAGTCTCTAGGCTTTTAGCAAAATGATGTGTACCTGATTTATCTGTCTAGTTGTCGATATCCGGTCATGTCAATTTGATTAAATCGAATGAATTTAATTTATTAAATTTTTACCGGTAGGGCGGACCGGATGCATGTAGATTAGAGTGATGGAGATAAAACCATGTTTATTATAGTAAATTACACGAGTGGTCCTTATCGTTTAGGGAATTTGCACAGTGGTCCATATGGTTTAGGAAATTTGCATGTTCGGTATTTAATTTTATTTCTTAACTTGGAGAGTTTTTATTGTATGTTTTTGTTGCGTTGTTGGTCCCAAAAAGAAAATTTTACTCGTATATATATTTTTTGTTTTTAATATATTTATTCATCATTTTTTCTAAAAAACAAAAAATTAATTATCCTCAACATCCCTACGGTAAACCATATATACTATCTTCTTTAACATATGAAACCCTAAATCATCAAACAAAGGTCGCCACCCTCCTTTACCAGCCCACTGTCGCCCTCCTTTATCGGACCAATGTCGCCCTCCTTTATCGGACCAACGTCACTCTCCTGTACCACGCAAGTCGACCTCTTTTATCGTATCACCGTCTCCCTCTGACATAAGATCGTCGACGCCCTCACCACCATCAACCATGGCTCGATTTAGTTTGATTTTTGCCCACCGACTCACGAACCAGACGAGAAACCTCTTTCTCTACGCCCTGACAACGTTGCTGAAGAAGCGGGCATGAAGCAGACACAAGATCTTCGACGCACTCACCACTATCAACCATGACTCGATTTATGTTTGATTTTTTTCCCACCAACTCACACACCAGACGAGAAGCAGTCTCTTTCTCTACGCCCTGACAACGTTGCCGGAGAAGCGGACATGAAGCAGCCTCTCGAAGCAGACGTGACAAGACAAACTCGAGCCATTTTCCTCTTTCTCTATCTTGAACCATTCAGTAGATTCTCGAACTACCCCCTACCCTCGTCGGCCTCGTCATACCTTCCACAACCGCCGACCGTCTTCATGCCAACCATCGTTGGCGATCCTTTTTTACCCACAGATTTCGAATGAAGGGTCATCCTCTCCATCTCAATGTCCACAGTCTTCCTCTCGACTCAAATTGATAGATCTGAAACACCAACCCTGAATGAGGAAAACAAAGAAGTTAGGGATGTATCTCAAGTTTCCTCCCCTGTAGATCCTATCTAGGACCAAGACGACATCAAGTTTTATCGATTTTGTAATGTTAGACGGATTTGTTTTTTTTGTTTTTTTGTTTTTTTTTTGTAAATAGTTTGATTGGGAAATGACACCGGTTCTTATATTCGCCTAAATCAAGTTTCAGAATTGGATTTGATCAACAAATTTGGGTTTTAGATTGATTTTTGGTTTTAGGTTTCAGAAATGGATTTGAACACACATAATCACCTTTTAGATTTTACGAGGTTCAATAGTTTTGAGAGAAAGGAGGAAATTGGTTGTTGGCACCAACCGCATGTGGTGAAGGACCGAGAGGGTCCGGTAGTGATTGTCGAGGTGATGTTGGTTGATGATGGAGGTGGTGTCGTCCATGGTCAATAAAATAAATTATTAAATAATTTTTTAAATAAATGTATAATTAAATAAATATATTATAAACAGAATAACTAAAAAATATATATATTAAAGGCAAAATAGTCTTTTTATGTCAGATAGGGACCAACTACACAAAAAAAAAATCATATCTTAGGAACTATTCAAAAGTTAAAAGATTAAGTTAGGGGTCAAACCTGCAAATCACTCCAAACCATAAGGACTATTCGTGTAATTTACTCTATTAATTATTATAATTTTTTCAAAATAACTAAGAACACAGTTTTTAATGGTTGCCTAATATTTTAAAATTTGTGGTTTAATAGTGTTTTTTGTTTGAATTATTTGGATGTTTTAAATGTATTTTCTAAATTCGTAGGTCTAGGTGGTAAAAAGTAGTTTGAGAATACGTTTATGGAAAGATTGAAATGGGATGGTTGGACTTGGATATGTTTCATGGAACTGTTTTCTTAATTGTTGTGATTAAAATCACTAGTCGTTTTCTAATATATGACTTGTAAGTCGGTTACTTACTATTTTTGTCATGACTTTGTTTCACTTTTTTTATTAGAAAAAATCTTTTCTAAAGTTATAGATACTGATATTGCAAAAACTTTATAAAATTATTAGTATAACAGATATGAGGATAAACTACCGTATGTTCTATCAAATACATTAACATTTATTACTTATTTAAATTTTCAAAATTTATTAAACGTTTAGATTATACTATTCCAACTTTAAATTGATTTTGATTATTGAACCTATGAGTGTGATCAAGTCGAGCCAGCTTGTAAGATGCTCAAAACCGATTCGAAAAATACTCAAAATCGACTCGGTTCAAATCAAGCTACTCGAGCATATTATCGAGTCAAACTCGAGTATTGGAATACTCCGCTCGTGAAGCTAACAAATTCACTTCAACTTAGTTATATTATACTTTTACCCTTTGTTTTATTTATATTTTACATTATTGAGACCAGTCAAGTCGAGCCAACGAGCTTAATCATAATTCTATTGCAATTTTTTTTTAATAATTAATTGAGCCTAATCGAACCGAGCTCAAAATATCGATTATTTTATCCCGTTCGAGCCCGAGCTTAAAAAATAAGGAAAATACCACAAATAGACAAAAAATGGGGGTCAATTTCTAAATTTAGTCATAAATTTTTTTTTCCAGATATAGACATAAATTCCGCGGAGGACCCTCCGCGGACCTCCGCGGAACCATGAAATCTCCGCGTAGAGGGGGTAATTTCGTAAATTCAACCAAATTTTTTGAGAAAAACAAAGGGGACCTGTTTTGGTCTCCACTAGTCCCCGTTCCTCTTCGTCATTCCGCATCGGGTTGCATAGGCATTGATCGAAGACTTCAAATCCGGCGACGACTTCAACTCCGGCGACGACTTAAACGACTTGAACTCCGGCGACGAATTCAACTCCACATCGGGTCGCACAACTCTCTCCGTCACCGATGGACCCCGAATTCCCCGATGTTATGGCCGATGGATACGGTTCCCGGGTATTTCTCACATTCTCATCTAATTATTAATGTCGAAAATGTCGAATATGATTCAAATTAGAGGAAAACCCATTTTATTACACTGAAAATGTATACAGATTTAGGATTTTTAGGTTTAGAAATCACAGGTACGTTATTTGGGATGATCCATTCCGCGGAGGGGAACGTCAATCCGCAGAGGGTGCTCCGCGGAGTGATGTGTTACCTCCGCGGAATGTTATAATCGAAGCAATGCAGTCCTCCGCGGAGGCTAGAGGTCAATCCGCAGAGAGGCCTCCGCCCAATGACCTCTACCCTCCGCGGAATGACCTTAAAATTTGGTTTTTGCAAAATAAATTTTTTTTTCTGCTTTTAAGTATGTTGCTATTTATTTCATAATGAAATAATATTTTTTTTTTATTTTCAATTAGTAATGTCTTAAATGAAATAATATTTTTTTTTGTTGTGTAGCACGAAGATCTCAATCAAAAAGCGGATTTAACTTTGAAAGGCGTGGTGGGGACTATCATTAAAGACTATTTTCCGCGCCTAACACAATCACAACGAGTATTATTCAAAGGTTCCCCCTTTGGAATATTCTTAGGAATGCATATCCCACATTGTGATCCCTTACTTGTGCATATGATGATGTTGCACGAAGTAAGGTGTCAACAAATATTTGAAATGGGGAAGTTTCTGTTTGATATAGAGGGGATCCAGTTGGGTTTTGGTGAAACTGAATATATTCTGATTTGTGGTTTAAAAGTTGGTCCTTATGTGGATTTACTCCATGACGAAAAGGGTCAGTCAAATTCAAATCTTCGTGCTCGGTTGTTCCCAGATATTTCTGATGCACGTTTGCGGCTGAAAGATTTAGAAGACTTAATTATGTCCCCGAATTATTTGGCACTACAAGATGAAGATGTTGTGATGCTTATCCAGCTTGTTTTTATGTTGAAGGGTCTACACGGACGGAACGTTAAAACGGGCATTCCTGCAACAATATACAAGCTTGCTGATAATATAGATGATTGGAACAGGTATTACATTTAAAACAGGCATTCCCGCAGTAGTATGCAATGCACTAATTATAATAAATAAATTGAAAATTGCAGGTTTGCATGGGGTACGTATTTCTGGAAATATACTTCGCGTATGATGCGTGGAATGTTTAAGAAAATAGAAGAGTTTAGAGAATTCAAGCAGGCCAATCCCGAATTGAAGAGAGTACACAAGTATACCGTTCCCGGTTTTATGCTTCCGTTTAAGGTTACTTTCTAATGCATTTTAATAGTTTTCATTGTTTAGTTTTTTATACTAAAAAAATTTGAACTTCGTTTTGTATTATATAATAAGTTTGTATCATGACTTTTATAGTATAATAGAACGATACTTACATTTTTTTTCATAGATATGGATTTTGGAGACGTTCCCAGAGGCAACCAAGTTTTATATACGCACGCCGACAGAATTGCCACGGATGAGGGCGTGGAGAAGTAAAACACTGTTAAATTGGGTTCAATGTTGTCGAATAATGAACGTGTCTGTGGTATGGTTTTTATATTAACAATCATCTATATTTACAAATTCCAATGTATTTTCATGTTAAACTAACAATTTGATTTTTGCAGCCTAACAACCAACCAATTAATGTCATGGCAACCCCGGAGGAGCTGATGTTGCCACTTTATGTTCGTTATGTCAATTGGACTCTTAACCCTGTAGAGTCTCCCCCACGGCAACATAGTCATGTCCGAAATAGTCCACCTCATGTTGCCTCGCCTGCTCGAAGAAGGATGTACAAGTCCGAAATACAAACATCTTCGACTGAATCTGCCACAAATGCTTCTTCCTCGCAACATCTTGAAAAAGAAACAAGTTATATGTCAAACGACACATCAAGATTGGTAAAGAAGAAGAAGACAAACACAAAGGCATTAGTGAAGCGTCTACTAGGCGTTGAGGCTGACTTAAGTTCTAAAGTAGACCGTGTATTACAGAAAAAAGATGAACCAGACACAAATGTTGAACCAGACAGAGGGTTTCGAGAGGAGGAAGAGGTGGAGGAGGAGGAAGAGATGATAAATGAAGAGGAGGAAGAAAAATATTACCATCATACACATTTTAACTATGATGATATAGGTACTCATGGTTTGGAGGGGGAATTTGGGTCTACACCTACGCATGTTGAGCCGTCATCGGACGTGGGTGAACATCACACAAAAGAAATGACTCCTATTGTTAGGCCGCAACGAAAGAGGGGTGTTCCATGGTATCAGCGGACTCCTTTCACAATGGTACAAAACTCATATTTTAAATTTGGTATATTTTTAAAATATTAACGTATTGATAATTATTTAACATGTTAATTTTTTAGATGTAATCCACACCAAAATTGAAGAAAATCGCCAAAGAAAAGAAAAAAAAAGTGGTGAAGAGTCCTCAAAAAGCAAATGAAGACATTGTGAATGAAGAGAGTAATGATGTTTCAAATCATCTCCTGCTCGACAGTGTTGAAGCTGCCAGTAGGTTGACTTTTTGGAAAGAATGGAATAGGATCTCTTCCAACCTAAACACTAAACATAGGCTGCATATGCTCACACTAGATGTGGAGTTTTGGTCGAGGTTACTTGCAGTTACTGACGCTGGGTGGTTAATTTCTTCGGTAACATTCGTTAAATATAATTTTTAACTACATTTTTAGACGATAATTTATATAAAAAACTGTAACATTTTTATCTTAAAATGTACAACATATTGCGATATGGAGTGCCTTGCTCATGGAAAGACGGCCGACGAACGCAAGGTGGACGATATTCCCTCAAGAACTTAATTTGCAAAACGGAAAAACATATTTTCTTAGAAATATTGCAAATGGTGTCGGAGGCCATCCTAAATGGAAGGATGTGGATATGGTTAGTTAAGTTTATTAATTATTTATTTTATATAGGAAACGAATTAATGACTATTAAATTTGTTTTTGTTTGCAGGTTCTATTCCCCATAAACGTTCCTCATGCCCATTGGTTTTTGGCAGTGCTACATTTAGATATTTGGAAAGTACACATTTATGATTCAACACGATGTATGAATTACTTCACAACGTACTTGATTGGTGGAGAATTCAAAAGTTTTGGGGATAGTATAATCGAAGAGCTAGATGTGATTGACTACTGGAAGGATTTCCCCGATGGACACAAAGACAACGCAGTTGTGGAGTTTATTGATATTGTAGACGCGCCACAACAAGAATATATTACTAATAGAGGGGATTGTGGAGTATTCGTAAGCATGTATATGGAAATGATTGCTTCGGGGGTACCGGTGAAGAGTGATAAGCCATGTAGAGATGCGGGATTTCTCTACAGAAATAGGATGAAAAATATTATTTGGGATACTAAAAAACTTGATGTTTGGAAGTTTGTATACATTATTATGAAATACAGTCGTAGAGCAGTTGTTCTGGAAGACTTGTAAAGCGTATAATTTATCTCATTTTTATGCATGTTTGAACAACTTAAAAAATGAGGTTAATGGGAATGATCTTCATTGGCTTGACAATATTCCCATTGCAAAATGGGTACGGGCTTGTTTTCCAAGAGTACGTTACAATGTTAAATTCATTGACATTCCCGTTGTTGTCAATTGGTTTAAAACAAACACGCATGAGTTTCCAATAACAACAATCATTGAAATGGTCAATGACTCGATGCAAGCAGTGTATCTTCAACGTGCTGCGTTTGGAGGTAATTATAAGTTATGACATCACTCAAATGGTGAATTGATATGTTATTATACGTTATGACATCATAATTTTTGTTTTTTGATTCAGTTCATTTCACAGGGGATTTTCATGGTCTTCTAACCCCTTATGCACTTAAGGTGATTCATAAAAGATTTATCCACTCGGATGGTTGTAGGATTACGCATATTGTTGGCGACAGATATGAAGTGACTAAGTATGCAACAACCGAATCTGTCCAATTAGACCGTGGTATTTGTAGTTGCGGTAAATGGCAATAGTGCGGTATACCTTGTGAGCATGCTATAGCTTCACTACAAAGACTCGAAATTGCAGAAATCCAGCAAATGGTAAATTTAAAGTTAAGTACAGCGGTGTATCGAAATGCTTATCAAACTGAGACAGTCAATCCTATTCCAACCCTTAGGCATTGGGAAATACCAGTTGAAAGTGTTGTGGTCTTACCTCCACGATAATTCAATTGAACTTTATTGTATGGATCACAACGAATATTAGTTTGTATTCAGTTCTATGTTAACCGTAGTTGTAATGGTCTGTTGGCGTTCTTTACTTTTTAATAAAAAATGTTTACCTTTAAATAAATAATTGTATTCCCATAATTGTAATGTATGGATGACAACGACTAGACAAACAGCTCTGCGGACTGACAAACATTATTGCGGACTGACAAAAAGCTCTGCGGAGTGACAACAGCTCTCTGCGGAGTGGAAGGGACTATATATAGTCATGGATGGTCGTTGGATTTTTGGTATAGAGTTATAAATTTTTTTTAAATTTAAAATGAGTTCATCTTCAACTTTGTATATTTTCTCGTGCAACGAAGTTGATTGTTTCTATTATGATCCGATCGACCCTTTTTTTGCCCCATCACCAAATTTAAGAGAGTCGTATATGTCGGAGGATACTTTGCAACAACTACAATGGGCTGAAGAACAAAAAAAAAAAGATAAAGACTCATCTCGAGCTCTCACTGAACGTCGTGACCTCATTGCGGCGGAGTGCAAAGAGGTTGAGGAAAGGATGACGATTACTAAAAAAAATCAAAGATCATGAGGAATGGATAAAAATAAGTAAGAAGAATATCAAACTGTCTGAAAAATGGCTTGCTGACAAGGATGCAGAAATGATAGAACTTGGTAGCCAAAAGGACCGTATGGAAGATAAAATAAGAATTAGGGACGAATACATTACAATGGAGAAAGAAAAGTATCATTTGCAATTCCCTTAAGTTAATTACTGTTGTTGTACGTTTACTATATGTTTCTGGTTTGTTGAATGTATTATCTTCGAGCATTAGTTATTATTCTACTAGTAATTATGCACTAATATAATCATAATATTACCCATCATCTTTAAAATAAACACACCATTTCAAAGTACACAAATTAATGTCCTCTAAAACAAAACATAATTAATTATAAATACAACATCAATCATTCAAATCAAACGTTGAACAATAGTCTTCTCTCTGCGTCCCACTCGTCCAACGCGTCTCTTGTGTCCCGTGCGTCTCTAGCATCTCCTGATTCCCTTTTGTCCCTTTCCATTTCCCTTTTGTGTTACAACCTGATGACGCACTACTTTTTGTAGCCTTTTTTTGTTTCTTTGGGACCAATGTCGGACAAGTCGCTGCATTATGTGTTGTACTATCACATCTACTACACCTTCTTACTATAGGTTCCTCACCTTGTGACGGGATACGATTTCTGTTTCTCGGTCTACCAGCTTGACGTGTATCCATTATCGGGGGTTTAACAACCATCATCTCAGCAGGAATCTCCCAATCACACGGTTCTGTAAGGGAGTAAACCGGCTCCTCATACGTACTTCGGTACGTTTCCATTTTGTAAGCATCTATAGCCAGATGAAGTTAGTTTTTTTCAAGTGCTTCAAGACCATTATGACATGACCACAAGGCAACCCAATTCCTTCCCAATATTTGCATGTACAAGTCTCTTGCCTCAGATCAACTATGTCACCATGTTTGAAATCATGAACTTGATATATTGCATCTGAAACACCAGAAACGGACCATCCTGTCGTACGCTCTTCATTTTTACTAACTACTTTTTCAGCCCACTCGGTTAGCACTGTTGAACGTTTCCCTGTAAAGAAGATATATATAATTAACTTATTATTCGACCTAATTAAAGTCCAAATTAAATTCATACCTCCTTCGATGCGACGCTTGTTACACCATTCCTGTGAAAGACGACGGAAGAACTCAAGAAGGAGTATTATAGGTATCTTCCTTGCATCTACAGATAAAGCATTCATGGACTCTGTACTGTTCGAGGTCATGTAATCGTACCGTTTCGACAGCGAATATGCTCTAGTCCACTTAGCACGGGGAATTTCACTTAGATACGCTGCTACTTGCGGCCTAGTAGAACTAAATCTATACCACAATTCTTCAAAAACATTTCTTTTGTAAGCTTTCACAAGCCTCCAAAACAACACTTTTGTTTTATCATTTTTCCCAAACCTGTGTACTATGTTTCCTAGTAGATGAAAAGCACACAAGCCATGATGACCATGTGGGAAAACATTTTCAATACTAACCCGAATTGCATTGGCCCTATCAGTTACAAAAGTCAATTCTTGACAATCACCAACACATTCATACAACTTTTCAAGAAACCATGTCCAAGTAAGATCACTCTTTTTTTTGCATATTCCGTGCGCAAGGGGCAGTATCTAGTTGTTCCCATCTATAGCTACTGCATGCAATATGGTTCCCTTAGAATCACCCTTCAAATGGGCACCATCCATAATTATAACTTTACGACAAAAACGTTTGAACGCTCGTATCTGCAATATATTAAAATGGAACACATAAACACTCTATAATTTGTTTAAAAAAATTATATATTAAATAACAACAAGTTTTTTGTATTTACCGTGCTCCCAATGACATAAAAACAACACTCGAAACAATCTTGAGAATCTGTTTGAATATATGCCACTGTACCGGGATTATGCCTCTTCAAATTGTGAAAATAAATAGGAAGTTTGGAAAAACATTCTTCAGATGATCCCAACAACAGTTCCATAGCATATTGTTTTGCACGCCAAGCGTGTTTGTAATCTACATTGATTTCCAGCAAAGCATTCAAATCCCTTGATATTTCATTAGGCCTCCAAACCTTGGAACGAGTTTTTCCCATAATCTCATGCAATATAGTACCCATCACTTTTTTATTAGCATGCTTATGATTAGGGTGTATCTGTAATGACGAACATGTGTGCACGTTGTTGAAAGTCCTGATTTCAAATTAATCAGTGGGATCAAGGCGTTTTGCATATAAACGCCAACTACAGTTCTCAATTTCACAATATACCTCATAACGATTTTTGTTAGAATGTTTGGTCTTAAACTGAAACTTTTCTCTGGTTGCTTTAAGACTCAAAGCAAATATTAGTTGTTTGTTATCATATGTTTGACGAACAAACATATCATCATTGGACCTAAACTGTGAAATGGTCCGGGTTCAACAATAGGATCAGGACAATCAGGTATGGGAGGCATACCGTAAAATATGTCTGAAGCTTTTTTCCCGTGTGTGAACTCATCTTCTGACCATCGTTCATTTGACTCTTCATCGTCTGACAAAGTTTTGTCACCCAGTCTTCCAAACTCATATAAATTTTTTTATTCAACCGTATTCACTGCCACAGTTTCTTCTTCTGGACACTCTTCAACATTATCAGATGCAACGTTTTCAACATTGTATGGTACAATCTTGTCAACCGCTTCTGTCTGTTCGACCAATCCCTGAAACACCTCTAAATACAAATGCACAATCTCCTTCGTTTCAGAAATTACATTTCTGAGTTGATGAACATCTGCTTCGTCTAAAATATTCATAACATACCCATGAACCGGGTGTTGAAATGATAATGATATATTACTATTGAACACATTAGCCTTAATTTTGACCAAATCAAACAATATTCGACGATCAAAATTTGGCGGAAGCAGTAAACCTAAGTTATTAAACTTTGGTCTAACGTAGGTGTTAATCTCATTACTTATCTGTCAAAAACCCCTAGTACATAAAATAACAAAACTCATACTTTTTTTTTTAAAATGAAATGAATAAAAACTGATCTATTTTGTAGAGATGATCGACCAAATCGACCTAAAAAAATGAAAAACAACAGTTTATATAAAAAAAAACCTCTAAAAACCGTTGCAACCACCACTTCCGCGGAAACATTAATCTCTCCGCGGAGGTATTTATGAAGGCCAAACGACTCGCTCTGCGGAGGTATTAATGTATCCGCAGAGGGCGTACGCGGAACATTATTTTATCCATTCAAAAATCAGAATTGTAGCTTGTCCGCGGAGATGACGTCATTCCGCGGAGGGTCCTCCGCGGAATGTATGTCTATATCTGGAAAAATCTTTTTTTATGACTAAATTTAGAAATTGACCCCCATTTTTTTGTCTATTTGTGGTATTTTCCCTAAAAAATAAGGCTAAGAGTCAAGCTCAAGTTTTTTTTTTTTTTTTTTTTTTATCAAATTGAATTTCAAACATAACACTACTCAACTCAACTCGGTTCAATTGCACCTAATTGAACCATGAATACTCAAATATTGAAATACACTTCAAAACATCCTCTTCGAGCAACAAAACCAGCAGCCACCTTAATTCAATATAATACCTTACGCAATGAAGTTTGTACATTGTGTTGCATATAGTAATTTCTATCTTGGAAATAAAAACATGGACATGGAGCCACATGCCGACGCGTTCCTCTATCCATTTTTCAATTCATCCCGGTGGCGGCGTTGGAGGCGACAGCTCCACCACAGGAGCGCGGCAAAGTGGACAGTCAGTGTGAGAGTACAACCACATGTCTATACAGTAAACATGAAAACAGTGATCACACATCGGCAATTTTCTCACTTCTTCCCCATCTTCAAAAACCGATAAGCAAACGGAGCATTCAGTGTCGGAATCCAACTGGTTTTTACTACCTTCCTCTCCTTTCTTGTACTTGAAACTTGACAATAAGCATATGGCGGAGCCACCGCGGGAAAGCGGTGGAGACATGGTGTTGGTAGGATTTCGCCGGCGGCGAGAGAGCTGGTTTTCTTGTGAGCGGCGCTGGTACTGGATGGTGCACCATCGGACGATGATGAGGTTGTAGAAAGCTAGGACGATGGCTGCGGTGGCTACCACCACGAGACCGTAGTATAACATGGGGATGTTTGGCTTTTGAGGCGGAAGCGACGACGCTGGCGGTGGTGGTGGGGTGGTGAAAGGTCTTTCAACATTTAGATAGCCTCCCATTTATTTTGGACTAGAAATTGAGAAATTGTATGTACTATTTTGGTGGTTGGGGAAAAGATGTGGCTAAGAAGGGTGGTTTAGTTTACACTCCTTAGTCCTTACAAAATGGTATTCGTATTTTTAGTTGAATGAAATAAATCGATACAATAATAGAATGAATGATTGATGTGACAAAATAGGCTATTATGACGTTTTATTATATTATTGATTGATACGTAAAATCATATCATCTGAACATGACATTTGGAATATATAAATGAGATAAAATAATAAAATACTAATATATTTTTATTATAATATATGTGATACCATTTTAGGTTATTATTCTTTTTTTACACCTTGTCATCATGGTTTTAAAACGTGCCTCTTATTTTATAAACGACAATATTATTTTGGTCATATAATCAATAGTAAGGCTTAGATCTTGTAACAAAGAGACCTTGATGCTCCGGACTGAATTGAGGAGATCTTGATTCGATATCACCAAAAAAAAAGCAAAAGGCAGGTGAGTCTCAAAATACGTTTCTCTATAGGGTCGGTCTATAGGTCAGGACAAGTTAGACGACCATCCTCGTCCCCAAATTAAATTATTAAGGCTAGTGAGAATTGTATCATATTTGTCACGGTTTACGTAGGTGTCACATAAGATTTGACATATTTTTTGCAATTTTTGCCATTTTCATGACATGGATTGCCAAACTTGTCATGATTTTTTTTTAAATTAACTAATTTAAAAAACTAAACATTTCAAATATATTATTTTTTTTAAAACTAAAATTCCATTAACTTCAAAAAAAAAACACACTAATGCTTAAAAAACAAAGCACATTTGAAATTAAAATAATACACACTTAAACTTAAAAAACATAACACACTAGAAAAAAAAATTAAATTAAAAGACAACGAATTTAAATTTGAGCAAATTTTGGGGACTGTCTCACAATTTGTCAAAACTCAACAAGTCGAAAATGTTTGTCCGCTTCAATATGATAAGCCTGGAGAGCATTCGCTAGCAAAATATTTTCATTTTCATCATTTTCGGCTTCATGTATCACCCTACGAAACACATTATTAAGCTGAGTTGCAAGTGTATTTGCATGTCTCCATTTGGAGAAGAGTTGATATTTACTTCGAGAAACAGGGATTTGACTGTTGTATGTTTCGGCGACTCAAACCCAAAAACTATGCGGATTGTCGTTAATGTATATTGGATTTTTGTTACATCAATCCATGAATGAACAAGTAGCATCTCTTCTTCAGGAGACCAAACACGAGTCATTTTTAGTGATGATGTTTAGAAGAAGATGAAAAATAAGAAAGTTAAGAGAACTGAATTAAGAAAATTTGAATAGTGTGAAAAATGAATAAGGATGATGGTATTTATAGTTGAAGATTGAAAGTTTAAATTTTGAAATTTTGAAAAAAAAAACGGTTATATTTTTGAAAATAATGTATTTTTTGAAAAAAGGAATGTGAGTTAATGGGTAAAAAAATAAAAAAATAAAAATAAAAATCCTTTCACTCTCATCGGTGAAATATCACCGAGTTGCCGAGTCGAGCTCGGTATGCCTTGGCCCGGTGTTCGCCGAGAATGCTAAATAAAATGCCGAAGCCACGAGAATGCCAATACATGGTTCAAGTTTGTTAGTATTTGATATTGAATATTGATCCTCGAGGTCATTTCTTAAAAACGTAATCAACACAACAATTTCCCAACATCATCATTTCATTCACTATGAAACAGATGATTTACATGTACAGATTATAACGAAAAACCTCACTACATCAACTCTCACACTCAAACATAAAACAACAAGGGAGAAAGAAACCCTAAACTGATACCCTAAGACTTGAACAGAGAGAAGAAGAATGATCGAGAGAGCTGAATAGTAAAAATATCTTCTGCTTTAACCAATAAATACATCGGGCACACCCAGATACCAAATACCCATGGAGTATCCAACAACCCGTGCATAAACCCGATACAACCTGCATAACTTACACTTCCAATCCATACATAATACTATATTTACACAAAACACCCAACTCAAAAATTAATTTCAGTTTGACACAGAGAAGTATTATTTCAACATCATTTTGTGTTAAAATTACATATTTCATTGTGATTTGGTTTCTTCCTCTAAATTTCGTTACTATTTGATATTAGTCCTCGGAAGTGAATAATGCATGGTTCAAGTTCAAGGTTTAAATTAAAGCTGTTGTGATTTGGCCTTCTAAGTGATATTGCAGCTGCCGCATATTTTTTGATTCATATTGGTTTGTAACAAAAGGAAAGTTTGAGTTGATTGGAAGTGGTCTCATTTGATTTGTTTAGTATTGATGGTATAGCGGTATAGCTGCTTACTTTTTTTTGTATCTTTCGGTTGTTCTTTATTTTTATTTTTTTTTGGTATTGTTTTGTATTATCTCCGGATTTATATTGTTTCCATTGGTTACTGGGCTGACTTCTTTTATAAATTACAATTTTTGTAACATTTGTTTGAAAAAAAGGTTATTGTCACTTTAGCCTAACAATGTTTCGTATATTGATTTAAATGGTTCATCGTAATTTTTTTTAAAGGGTACGAACTTGTGTTTTACCGGTCAATTTCGTACATTTACCTTTTTTTGAAGGTTACACTGCCTTTGTCAACTGCCAACTAAGCGGACGGGTCAACAATGACTCAGTGGTGAGTCAACTCATCGTTGCCATGTAAGCCAAGAGTCTAAGCATAAAACTGAACTCCGTCTTCTTCATCAAAGAGAAAAGCAAGAATACCCAAACCTTTGGTTCCTTTGTGTTCTTCATCAGAGAAAAAAGCAAGGAACAAAATCAAGAACCCCAAAGACACCCGACTAACACAACCTTCATACCCATTAATCCAAACCTTCATACCCATTAATCCAAACCCAACACCAAAGTCCCTAAACACATACGTTTCCTCCTTTCCTTACCTAATATCCTGATTACAATTTCAATTCATCACCATAAAACCACTTGATACACAACCATTGTTACCAACCCTTTCTATATAACCACTTAATAAACAACCATCATCACCAACTGTTGCCTGTGCTAAAAATAAAAGAAATAAACAGAAGGTGAACACCAAATACATAGAGGCGATTCAGCGAGAAAAAGGAGGGGGTCTGTGATTCAGCTCAACATAATCGGATTTCGAGTCATGTTATGGCAAGAAAGGGGAAACCACCCTCTTGAAACTTCCCGTCTTTCCCGCGGTGAGCACCAGAGCATCGAAAACTTCCATCGACAACATCGTCGGGAGTTCCGACGGCCTGAGCTACTTCAATGCCCAATCGAAGGTTGACATTAGGTTTGTGACCCAATCTAGGGTTAGAGAACCACCAGACGACCATGTAATGGGGATCTGAGGACGATTTTCAGAAGGATCAGGGGAGGGAGATGGTTTTTGGTTGTCGTCAGATAAGGAAGGGGAGGAGGCAAAGCCAGAGGCACATGCTGTAACATCCGGATTTCCAGGTATTATGTTTGATCACTTATTTATGAGTAAAAGAGAGGGACTCGACGAGTTGAGGCGTAGACTCGTCGAGTAGGACCGCGATGCTGACTGGATTAATGAACGGACTCGACGAGTCGGAAAGGGTGGACTCGACGAGTCCGCGCTGTAAATTGAAACCCTAATTCTCGGGGTCTGTGCCCTATTTAAAGGCCTTTATGGCCTCCATTTGCAGCCACTTCACCCCTGAGAAACCCTAGAGAGCAGAGAGATCGTTTGTGGTGCAAGAGGAAGGCTAACTCACCATTTCTTGTGTGTTTTAGCAAGAAGGAAGGAGGTAGAACAAGCTAGGTGGATTGAGGAGCTTGGATCCACTTCTATTTGATCAGAGGAAGCTGTTGGAGGTATCAATCTGTGCCATTCTCGTGTTTTTTATGATTCTAGTGAAATCTAGGGTTTTCTTTATGCCTCTTTTAGTTGAATCTTGTGTATGTGAGGTCCCAAGGCGATTTGGTTCATAGATCTGGACCTTAAGAGGTCCAGAGAGTCCTTACCACTCTGCTTTATGCCATACCTTTTGAGTTATGAGCCTAGGAGGCCATTTTAGAGGTTATTTCACCAAAAGAAGCTTTAGGTGTGTTGCATGTGTACCAAGATTTAACCTTTACGTGATTGTCATGCTTGGGAAGGTCAGATCTATAGAATAGAGAAGCAGATCTGACCTTAGAAGGTCATTTGAGTATAAACATGGAAGCAACTCGCCGAGTCCATAAGTGGACTCGACGAGTCGAGTCGGGGTTGCCCCACGATTCGTGACAGGAGGAACCCTCCGAGTGGAAGGATGACTCGACGAGCCAAGAGAGGCTAGAAGGACTCAGGGGACCCGCGTGGACTCGCCGAGTCGCCCATGTGCACTCGACGAGTCGGGTCAAAGTTTGACCGTTGACTTTCGTTGACCTTAGGGTTCTGGTCAAGACTGATTCAAGAGAGTTCAGAGAGGGGTAGAATGGCCTTCTACCCAATCTTTAGAGATGAGACTATGAGAGAATATTGATCGGGAATGTTATTTGAATAATAGGAGGAGGCTAGGTCGGGACGTTGAGCACGAGAGTTTATCCGACTTCATTGATGTGAGTCTTCTCACTATACTGTACCTGGAAGGGTACCTATGTGTGACCGGAAGGTCTTATATGCTATGAGATGTATGATCTGTATGTTGTTATGTGATATGTATGTGTTATGTATGTTATGTACGATATGGACCGGAAGGTCAAGAGGTTACGGACCGGAAGGTCGATATGGGTAGGACCGGAAGGTCTACCGGGATTCGGGAAGGAAGTCCCCTGAGACACATGGATCGGAAGATCCTACAAAGTTATGGCCTGGAAAGGCGTATGTGTTGTATGTGGTTTTTGGGGAACTCACTAAGCATTTATGCTTACAGTTGTTGTGTTATGTGTTTCAGGTACTAGCGAGGATCGCGGGAAGGCGCCGACATGATCCATACACACTCATAGAGAT